ATGGGACGGGGAGCCCCCGGGCCGCGGGGCTGGGGGCGGCGGTGACATGGGATGGGGAGCCCTGGGCTGGGGGGGGCGAGTGGACATGGGACGGGGAGGACGGGGAGCCCCGGGGGGGGGCGGTGACATGGGACGGGGAGCCCCTGGGGGGTGACATGGGACGGGGAGCCCCGGGCTGGGGGGTGGGGGCAGCGGTGACATGGGATGGGGAGCCTCAGGATGGGGGGGCTGGGGGGAGGGAGCCCGGAGGTGGGGGATGGGAGGGACGTCCTGGGGTGGGAGGTTGTCTCTCCTTAACCCCCCACCTCCGTCTAGCCCCTGCCTCTGTCTGCACCACCAGTGCTGTCTTCTATAGGGGTCCTTCTTCCCGACCTTATGCAGGGTGGTGGGGGTTTGACACCCCCCTCCCTGCATTGGGCTCTGTCCCTCGGTGCAGAGCCAGGGGACCCATTTGCCCTGGTTGGTTTCTGTGCCATGGTGAGTGAAGTTGGGGAGGCTTTGGAGTTGGGGCTGCTCCCTCCACGCACCCCCTTGGACCTCTCCTAGCTTGGTGGAGCTCATCTGTCTTGGATGACTGAGACTGGTGCGCACCCCAGCACCAGTGTGCAGCTTGGGTGAAGGTGTATGATCCCTGCAGCCACTGGCCTATAACAGCTGGTAGTTCCGATCCCATGTGCTTCATCCCCACAGGAGGCAGAAGCAGCGGCTTTGTATAAATAGTTGCCCAGGCTAGAGACTGTATCCCATACAAAAGGGAGCTGAAATCCAACCCAGCCACAGTGTGCTAATCTCCATTCACGTCATACGCCTTTGGGTGGAAAGGGGCATCCAGTGCGTCATCTAGCCCAGCTCTTCTCACCCTAAATATTTGTTTAGATGACTTGGCACTAGTCATCCTCGCATGCCAGGAGTGGCCCCATCAATAGTTTTGTGTTCTCCATTGAGGTGCCGTAGGAAATATTTGTTAATTTGAGATGTTCCCACTGCTATCAGTCTTGCAATTCTCTCTAATGCAAGACCGGCGAGCCCTGTTGTGAAGCAGGAAACTTAGTTAAAGTGGTCGTGCTACAAATTAATATTGCTCAGGGAGCTTATGTTTTTGCTGCGTGGAGATATTTATTGTGTGACAGTAGCTTCTAGGTCCCACAATCAGGGATCTGTACGCACACAAAATGTAGTGGTGATTATACTAGAGAGAGACTGATTTAAACCCATAAATCAGAGTAATGGGTTGGCATAGGATTGGCCCTTTAATGCTACAGGTATGTGAGCCATAGGCCTGGTCTACACGGGGGGATCGACCTAAGATATGCAACTTCAGCTACGAAAATAGCGTAGCTGAAGTCGACGTATCTTAGGTCGACGTACCTCGCATCCTCACGGCGTGGGGTCGACTCTGCCTCGTATCGCGGTGAAGTACAGGAGTAGACAGCAGAGCGATCGGGGATCGATTTATCGCGTCTACACTCAGACCTGGTCTACACTACAGAGTTAGGTTGATGTAAACTGCCTTGCATTGACCTAACTATGGAAGTGTCAATCTTAAATTTGGCTCCTGGTGATGCAACGGCCCCGCTACGCCAACTTAATAACTCGACCTCCATGAGTGGCGTAGAGTCAAGGTTGATGTGGTTAGGTTGACGCGGTGTCACTGGAGGCACTGCGTTGCTTACATTGACTGTTACTGGCTTTCAGGAGCCGTCCCATGCTGACAGCACGGTCGATACAGGCACTCCTGGTGAGGACGTGCACCTCCGACACAAGGAGCAAAGTGTAGACACGTACAAGCTATGTAATTACTGAGGCGGCTGTATGCTGACATAAATTAGGTCAGCTTAATTTTGTAGTGTAGATGTGGCCTCAGGCCGACAACACTACACCAGTTTACATTTGGCTCATGTTTGAAAAAATACCTTCACAACCACAATGTCTAGAAACTTTAATTTTAAAATGAAAGAATCTGAATGTGTCATTAAAGCCACATAAATGGGCCGGGTATTTGACACCTCTACTCGTCTAATGGAAAAGTGCACGATTAACAAACAGCAGTATTCAAATGATCATTGCCAAAGGAAACCTGTAAGGTAACTTTAACGTTGTACCAACGCTTCTCTTCCAACTTGTTTTCTCATCTGAGAATCACTGCCGCTGCAATTCAGGTTGCTCAATAGACCATGGTGCTGTTTCAGCAGCAGATGGCAGCTTGGTTTAGATGCGATTAGGCAAAGAGGTGCTGATTTGACTAGATCTGTCAAATCTCTGATTATTCTAAGCTGGGTTTGGGGAAGTCTGTCACTGCTCCGCATGATCCTCTCTGTGAACACAAGGTTTCTGGGCCAGAAGTTAAGCTGTATGTCTGGCAGAAGCGCACCCTGCTAGGGTACAAGGTGCCCATTGAGGGCTCATAAAGGATTTGTCTGGGTTGCTGAGATCAGGGGCTTGTAACACCATTCCTTATTCCAGTCTTTCTCAAACTGTTCCAGATTGTGGATCCCACCTTAAGCTAGATATCATTTTGTGGGCACCTCTCCTCCCAGCCCCCATTCCACTACAATAACTCCTCGCTATTCCTCTCCCCTCCTCTCCCCTGCCCCCCAAACATGATGAAACAGCTGTTTCGCTGCGTTCAGGAGGGGGGAGGTTCTGATCCATGGGGCTTGCGGGCAGGAGGCACTGGGGGTGGTGGAGGGGAGCTAATGGGGGGCTTGCGGCCCACCCTAGTTCCAAGCCCCCACCCACAAAACGACATTATAAGTGAACATTGCACCACTTAAATGAGTATGTTCCCTAATAGATCAGCAATATAACGAAACGTTAACCGACAACGGTAAGTGAGGCATTACTGTACTTCCCTGGGGCAACTAAGTTACTTGGTTCCATGAAGAAAAATTTTAGCCTGTCTTTAAGGAGACACAATCAACTGGAGCGTGGCTGCCTGTTCTGTCACTGTGCTGTTAACTTCCCTTTCCCATATAAGGGGATTTATGTTTAATAGAACCAAATCTTTCCTAGTTCCCTGCATCTCCCACTGCTCTAATCTCTTTGGGTTGCTTTGTTCTTTGTTTCTGTCTTCTTTTGTAGCCTTGTCTGTTAGAAATCTTGCACCAGTGCAACTATTCTAGATCAATTTTAGTTACGCTGGGGCGAGTTTCCTAACAGACAAGAAGTGTCCTAGGTTTCCAATGTTAGTACTGTCAGTGAAGTAGATAATTTCACTTTACACCAGAGAATCACCAGAGGCAAAGAGGGGCTCTTTTTTCTGAGTTCAGTGTTTCTAGAGGCTTTTTTGACCGAATCCTAGAATAGAGTACAACTACCAGGAATGTCACTGTCTGGAAACTGACAGGTGTTTTGCCATTGACTACTGTGAGGCATTTATACTGCCCTGACCGCCATGTATCTGGGTGCCTCTGGTGGTTTGAGAACTAGTGCTTGCTTTAAACTGCTTATCTGCAAATTAGGTTCAAACTAGATGTCTTGTGAGATGGGTTTTCTAGGTTGGTCTGCAGCTACAACAGGAGCA